ACTTCTTATCTGCGTGAAATCTCGAATTTAAAGTTCTCCCGTTATCCGACGTCGTATCGCATTAGCATATGAATATAATGCCGCGGCGCGAGGGTTTAAACTGTTTCTAATAACAGTGAACATATGCGTGAGAGCAAGCAGAGCGACGAAGCGACAAATAATTTTCGGGATGTCGGAGGCGGGTAGCATCTTGCCGCATCTGCTTGCTAATTCTCGGTGCTAATCCGGCAAATCCCATGGCACCCTCGTGCATTAAAGTCGGCCTTAGATGAGAGTCGGGATGGTACCTCGGTACGGAGGACCGAGCGAGGAGTATAGCGCCAGTGAACGGGGGGAGTGTGAGTGCGCGGCGTACGCGCGAACGAGAGCAAGGGGTCAGAATCAGAGGGGGATGGGGGGGCGGGGTAGTAGGTGGGCAGGAGGATACGCAAGAGATGGTTGTGGCAGTGCTGCTGCTACTTGGCGATGAGGCTAATATGCATGCGCTCGACCCGGCCAAAGTTCACTTAGATCGCATTGCATTGCATTACGTGGCATTACAATGGTGCTCCATCCCGAAGAAGGAAAGAAAGGAACATAGAGAGAGGGAGAGAGGGAGAGAGATCGGCAAAGAGGTCAAAACGGAAACCGCACGGTTACGTTATTCTCTCTCTCTTCCTTGAGAGTCTCTCCGCGTGATTCTCTGACCTTTCGTCCTCTCGCTGTATCCGCTAGTCTCGGCTCCTTTTCCCCTCCCAGTCGAGGCAGAGGCAACACATGCTTAATAATTTACGCGGCACAAGTGGCCTGGAACTTTACCGTGAGTTATATCATACTTGCGCATACATTCTTGTATACGTGGACACGAGTCTGTTGCGGAACGAGCCGCATACACGGCAGCCCGCTCGCAGGAAGAAACTGGCCGATACTCGCGATACATACCGGCATACATGTACGCTCTCGGGCCAAGGGTATCGAGGTAAGAGCATCCTCCGTGCGTGAATTATTGCTGGTAGGGTTTCTAGGACATGCGCGTCAGATACCGGTGGGTTATATTTTTTGGGTATGTTTCCTGGGTAAATGGCAAGGGATGCAGTTCAGGGGATACGAGATGGTTCTCGAACATCGATCTGCTCGAAAATATGCGGCGTGATAGTGACAAGAATGAACCCGTGCTAATATAAATCTTGCACGGTTGCGGTTTTACTCTTTTTTGTTTGCTAGTCTTACGTCGGTGTATCTAGCAATAACGAAGAAGATTGTTAACAGCGGGTCTGGCTAGTTGGTACAGTTCGCATTCTTCGGAACCCGTTGAAATATTTCTTGTCACGGAGTTAACGATACGAGAGTGCCCCTCCTCCTCCTCCCCCCCATACAAGGAAACTAGCGACGGGGAAAGAAAAGCGTGATTAATTCTGTCGGGGAGTAGTTTCTCCTGAAAAACGACTCGATTGCCGTTCGGCCATCTCGAAACCCTATATTCAGAAACTGTTTTCTTAGTACCGATTTTTCTGCGATCGTCCGTGTAAAACCGCGGGTAACCGGAGTGCGCGTGTACGTAAGAATGGAAACTCATTTCTATCCCGTATCTAGAAGCTCGTTTGTATTTCTTGCCATCCTTCTAATGTTATCCATGGTCGATACCCTGCTTTTCATGGATCACGTTTTGTAGTTTCGTCCTTCGACGAGAAATTCGTATACTTTCGGGCAATTTCCTCTGGCCATAAATCACGTCGACGTCGTCGAGTTCATCTCCCGCACTCCGACCTTTGCCGAAACACCGTTCTCATCTCCTTTCTTCTTTCCTTTAAAAACGAAATATGAATTACATGGAGAATCGCGTTATCCGCGTTCCATCGACGGGAAATAACAATTAATTCATCGGAGCTTCGCGGTGACGTTTAAACGGGAAGACGATGCAAATAAAAGACACTCTAATTCTCTAATCGTGTAATGCACAATTTTCGCGTGTCACGGAGTAGGTTTTCTTGCGGCTGCATTATTAAAACACAGCCGGTGTTTTTCTCATCAAGGGACACGAGAGCATGGCGAAATATTAGCCAGAGGAATTTCTCTATCGCGGTTCGCTGTGAATGCAACGTATAAACAAGACGATGCTTTACATTCTGTAAAACTAGGAGAACTCGGCTCTCTTCAGTCTCGGAACAAAGGGCATTTTGTCAGTTTGGTAGGAATGTGCAAACGTAATACTTACGCGGCAGTCCTGGCGCACGCTGCACTTTTCCACGGCACACCAGGGTGTATTTCTTTCTATCCTTAACCTACATTAACATTGTGGACCGCGCGTCTTTCCATAGGATCGGTCGATAAAACGCAAAACTGAGCGCGTATGTATGTCGAAATTAAATTTCCTGATACGTATGCACGCCGTTGTTTCTTATATCGTCGCCAACAGATCTTCTCCTGTGAAAAATTACAGCAGATAATATCGCGCCAAGGTTACGAAACACGACTTCTTTAAAACAGTTCTAAAGGACAAACAATTTTACACAATCAACGTTTTTAATCAGAATTTCCTATTGATTAATATTAAATAATAGTCGTTTTCAAAATTCGATCACGAAGCGATGTACGTGTAAAATTTTGGAGTTCAGAAATCGCTGAGACTAGGGTGTCCTGTGGGATGACGTGTGCGTGTACGCACAGCTGTTTAATTGTGTGCACACACGTGCGGCGGCCAAGTATGATGCGATCGAGTATCGCACGAGGCGATGACTCAGCTCACCAAGCCCCTAGAGTGGCTACCCACTACATCGGATACCCCCCTTGCAGTACACACTCGCAAAACTGCATCGAAACACATTGCTTAGATTTCTTCCATGTTTCGCCTGTTTATATTATTTTTACGTATAATTAATTAAATTCTCTTCTAATCTTATTTCGAACGACATAGAATTTATATTTATATACTGAACACTGGAAATTTATCATGAATTTATAAGAGCTAGGAGGGAAGAGAAAAGGTCACTCCTCTGAGAGTGTAAAATATTCGAGATGACGCGTTTAATTTAAAATGTTCGAGGCTATTTGCAGTTCGCCGGCGGAAACGAGTTTAAGGCAACTATCCACAGCGCGACACGGCGTAGGGTGTAACGTTGTTTTGCGAAATCCAATTTCCACGCGAATTCGGGTGAATGGGGCAGCAGAGGTTAAGGACGATCCATGGAAATGGTCGACGCGGAGGCTGCCGTTGGCTAGGCTAATAAGAGGGCGCAAAGACGCCCTCGTGCCCGGCAAAGACTCGATAAGGGTGGTGCACCCCTCGTATATTGAGATAGGGTGACGTCGTTGGGGTGGCTCGTAGGAGGGGAAGGGTGCGTGTAATTTCCCGGTGGACGATGGCGTCAGGACGCGTGGTGCGGATCAAGCTGAGGGTCGTTCAACCACCAGTATTGTTTAGTGTCTCGTGCGCTGTGTCGTAGTCCTGTTCTCCTCGTGATCGTGAACGTGCTGTGCTTGTGATCGTTTAGCTTAAGATTCGTTTCCTATTTTTGTACAAAACAGTTCGCCCGTAGAGCACAAAGACTTTCGCTGTTACGGAAAGTAGCGCGGTTAAAGGATTTTGTTTTATCGTCATCAGATAGTTTCGAGTTGTTCGAGTAGACTGGGTAGTTGGTAAGGAAGTCGTTAAGTTATCAGGATAAAAAGTTTGAATCGCATTTAACGTGGTATTATACGAAAATTAATACGATACGAGACTTGGGAAATAATTGATTAAGTTACCAGTTGTGTTCACCTCGTCAACGAAGTGGTATTTGTCTGGTGAAAGTGCGGTATCGTGATCGGCGTCTATCTAAGTGTTACTGTTAATCATTCTCCACGTTGCACTCATATTTATAGGTGTAGAATTATTTAACCGGCGTGTAAATCGGTGTTTAGAATATTCACCTGTGACCGGAGAACTTTTCTATAATATCCTTACCTGAGGACTATCCGAGCAACTGGTGTTCATGCACACGCGGCCGCGGACATTACTCAGCAAGCGCATTTATCGATTTGAGCCGGCGGTTCGATAAGCATCGTATCGAGTCGCTACTTGTACAATTGTAAAACGTGTAACCGTTAGTAATCGGCACGAGTGCAGGCGCACGGACATCGCGTATCCCCCGATCGGTCATACGCGAGCATTAAAGACCACGCGACGATCACCATCGTGTACCCATCGCGATCACGAACGACGTGGCACGCACTTAATTTGCCCGTACGGAAGATATTTTTTTCAAAGGTCTCTCTCTCTCTCTCTCTCTCTCTCTCCTAATACGTTTCGAAAGCCATTCATCGTTGCGTGCGAGCGGCATCGTCCACTACCACTTCCACCGGCTTCCTTTATTTCACCCTCTTTCTCGTTAAGTATTCGCTTTCCCGTGCACGAGCCGCATTAGCCGCTTCCCACCCCACCCACGCTCTTCCTATCTTGCTCCTTCTTCCCTCTCAGTCCTGTCACCCTTCCCCACGTCACTCTGTTTTCCGTTCCAACGAAGATTACGCTATCGTGTATTTTTTATCGAGCTCCTGATTAAAACCGGACCTCCTGGCTGCTCCTCCTCTTCCACTACTCTCGCCCTCATCCCCTTTACTCGTCCTACCGACCTCTCCCTGCCACCTCGCTATTCGTCGGGACTCCGCTTTCGGCAAATAACGCCTCCGTTTCACGCTCTCGCCACCGCAACAACCACCCCGCGCCCCCGTTCGGTACCCGGTCGGTTACCCCCGGTGACGACAGTTAACGAGCACCTTCGTGAAGCCGCCGCCCGACCCCCGCCTCACGTGTCAACTGCCCACTGACTTTACCAGCGCCGCCGGTCGTGGTTTATGCGCGACGCGATAAGTAATCGCGAAGCCCTTTTTTTTATACTCGGAAACACGTGCTGGACGCGATCGATCCGCGCCGCGAGACAGGGTCCAAGGTCGTCGACACATACGAATACGAGTTTTGACGCGCGCGGACACGGGAGAGGGTGAGTGTGTCACAAGGCGGACTATAGCTGCTGCGCGCGGAGATGTTGATACCGGTCTCGTCGTCGCCATCCTCCAGCAACGGAGACGGCGCCATCAAACTGTTCATCGGGCAGATACCGCGTCACCTCGAGGAGGACGCGTTACGACCGATGTTCGAGGAATTCGGGAAAATTTATGAGTTTACCGTGCTGAAGGACAAGTACACCGGGATGCACAAGGGTGAGTGAAGAAAAGGGTTATCGTCCGGTTCGGCAGGATTTTATTTCAATTTCTGGAAACGAATCGAGAATTATTTCTGTCCGTATTTGCCTGCTTCACATTTGGTGAAACGGGCAGGTGTAACAATAGCGCGATGCAAAACCAACGGCCGTAAATACCATTGCAATAATAACTATCGATAACTTGCGCCGACTCGCGATCCATTTCATACGTTCGACTAAGATAAGCGCGAAACGAAGCACTTTCGTTTGATAGCGAACCTGCGCGTTCGTCGATGGCAGGACGGGAGAGGAACTGGGCGGTTGGTAGGTGGGCGATGTGTATCGCAGTGGAGAACGGCGCCCGTCGCATTGTACGGAGGACGGACGACGCATTATACGTCGTATCGTCGGCGTGGTAGCTTTCGAAACGCGACTGAGAGATTAATCAGGATTTATTCTTTTGTCTCTCACGCGACGCGATGTATGGCGTGGCATCTCTCTGGCCGAGGATAGGGGGGACGCGTGCAGGAGGAGGTGATCGCGAGTGCGAGAAGGAAGGGGCGCTCGCGGTGGAGTTGAAAGAGGGAGAAAAAGGAGAAAAGGGTTGGTAGGCGATGCGCAGGGGGGGCGGGGGCGGGGGCGGGGGCGCAGAAGAGCGGACTAAGCCGGTGAAACAATAAATTTCGCGGGCATTCACGTCGATCGCCGAGAGGATGAGCCGACGTCGACGATCGACGGCCTTTGTTGGCCGGCCGTAAGCCTCCCTATCCACCCTCGGTAACCTCTCCTTCTCACCCCGAAAAGGGGGTGGGTCGGGCGAGGTGAGCGATCTCTTCCCTTCCTCGAACATCGCGGTGCACCAGACGCCGGCAAACCTGATACAATGGAACAACGTTCACGACCGTTTCGTGCCGTTTCCGCGGCGGAAACTCCCCCGGAAACGGGGACTTTAACACTGACGTCACCGGTCACCGGTCACCGGTCGCCACCAGCAACCTCTTTTCACAGCGGCAAGGTATCTAATGCCTCCACTCGATCCCGACCGCTCGAATTACGACGGGGTCGGTTATGCGATACCTTTTCCGTATAAGCGAAGAGAGGGATGCTCAAGGGGCGAGAGCTGCAGGCGACCGAGAAGGAAGTTCTGGTGACGCGCAGCCTGTGTGCTTCGGGATTTTATAAAGGCATTTGGAAAAATGAGACAATGTTCGGGGAGCTGTGCGGATTGTCTTCATGAATTGTGCATCAGTCGGAGAAGCCTGCGGCTTGGACCGATTTTATTCGGAATTTCGGCGCATCGACGGTATCCCCG